TCCGTCACCGTATAACACTGAGGTACAGTACCGGTGGGGGACAGGTCTGTCGCTGTGTAACACTGTGTAATGTGTTAAAACACAGTGTTGGAGAATGCAATCTGGAGATCAGAATGCTGATAATGACCGCGGAATCAATGCCCTGTGATCACTAGTTTTGGACCCATGCTGCACTGAACCAGAGGGTGAGGGGGATGGTGCTGGTGCTGGTATGTGGAACTGACAACTAGCTGCCCAATATGGTGCCATGCAGACTGACCTGTGCAGAGTCGATGACGGCAACGATCATGTTGAGGAGTTCACTGCTTCGCAACGTCTCATCGGGGAACTAGAATGTGACGAAAAGCAACATTACACAGGGGGTGACAGCAACGGGAGCCCCGTCTGCCATCACACCCAGGAGCTCCCTCCAAAACCTCATCCCAACTATCGCAGGACATAAAATCCCATTCCACAGCCTCCCAATGTATTCAGCAGGAGCTGATAACGCAGAAAAGACTGGACAGGCTGGGGCCTTTTACCTTTGGAAGGGGAAGTCTCAAGGGGTCAAAGTGAGATGTTAGTGCTTGCCTGCAGTAGAAGCAGAGATGGTGTTTCCATTTGGGGTAGATCAGAACCAGGGGCCCATCCATTATTCAAGGTCCTTATGGGGGGAGAATGGGGAGTTGGGGGGTGGAGATGGAGGCTGGCTCCCACGGAGAGCAGAAGGACTCGCTCCAGCAGGGAGTGGGGGAGAATTGTGGAATATGGTAGGGATGTTTTCGACAAGGCTATAAATTGTTGGATTATCGCCCTTGGCAGGGAGGGTCATCCTGATAGTCTCTTGTGTAAAATTCATTGGTCTACCTGTTAGCGGTGACTCAGGGGGCAGCACCTGGTCATCTCAGAGTCAGAACTCGGTGGTTTCAAATGACAGGGACAGGAGCACCCAGTCAAGAATGATGCTCCCTAGGGCAATATGTAATAGATACTGGGTGTACAGGTTATCAAGGCAGGCTAACAACATAGGCTGCATTTACTGCCACGCCACCCCCGGGAGGGACCACAAGCCATGCCCATGCAGTTGCACCTCCTGGGAACTCGTGGGCAAGTGCAACGAGGTGGACCCGGAAGGGGAGTGGGCAAGTTTGATGCCAGAGCTGAGAGCACAGCGAGGGTGGTGAGCGTTGCTCAGGCTGATGCAGAGGTGTGCTGTCACTGGCAACATCTGCTCACGCACAGGGGGCTGCCAACATGGTGTAGGTAAGACACACCCTGTACGTGTCAAAACTTGGAGGTGAGGGCAGTGCCCACACAGCAAGATCTCTCAGTGAGGACTGTCAGCTCCTCACCTGCTTCTGTTATACTGGACCTCATCTCCCTGATCCACATCCATGATAGAGGTGCCGGTGTTGGACAAGGTGGACAAAGTCAGAAGTTACACGACACCAGCTTATAGTCCAACAGGTTTATTAGAAATCACAAGCTTCAGAGCCCTGCTCCTTCATCAGGCGAAGACTATAACCTGATGTCGGGTGACTTCCGACTTGATCTACATCCAGTAGTGTTTTAACTGACTGATTGCCTGGTTAAACCTCTGTCCCACAGCGCTCCAACAGTGCCAGATGACAATGCCTCAGTGACTCTGCAGCATCAAGAGGTCATGATAGGTGCTACACAAAGGCAGCCCTGTCATTCTCTCTTCAAAGTCAGTGTGCCTGGCCATGCAGTATTTTAAGTGGCACAAAGGCCAGTTCTGAATGCAAAAAATAAACCTGGCCTCAGGATACAGAAAAATCTCCCTTGCTCTTCTGCCAAAGTGAATCCTCGACATATGTTTGAGAGAGAACTTCCAAATGTCTGGCTCCCTCGGCGCCGACCCTCCGACAGCGAGCCCCACACCCAGACTGGTATGTGCAGAAGACCTTACCGATGTATAGATAGTAGGGGTGAGATAGCAGAGCAGCCGAATGTCATCCTCCTGGCATGCTTTCATATCCATCATGAGACAAGTGTGCAAATCGCCCAGCTGTGTCGCCTGGGCGAAGGACTCATACAGTCTCATCTTCCCCGATGCGGCTTTACTGAAAGAAAACAGGTACAGCAATAAGGAGACCGGACATCGTCTGCCTCGAATCTGATCCCTAACTCAGCAATGGCTGGTGTGTGTGAGACAGAGAAAGGAGCAGAAGTCAGCAACCAGTTTCAATGCATTTCATCATGGGCAGCAAACTACTGCACAGAGCAACCTGGCCGTCTTTGTCCAAGGCTATGTTAACTGGACTGGCAGCTGAAAGTTAATGTCACTCCAGGGCCATATGGAGCACATTGAGAAATCTTGGTTAAGATGCACCATATGGTCAGCTGCTTTACTCTATCTAACCTTGTACTGCCCTGTTCCTGGGAGTGTTTGATGGGGACAGCGTTGAGGGAGCTTTATTCTATCTAATGGATAGAGTATTGGTTAACTAACAGAAAGCAAAGACTGGGGATAAGTGAGTGTTTTTCTGTTTGGTGATCAGTGGCTAGCGCTGTGCCCCAGGGATCAGTGCTGGGACTGCCACTGTTTACAATATACATGGATGATTTAGAGCTGGGGACCAAGTGTAGTGGGTCAAGGTTCGCAGATAACACTTAAGTGAGTGGGAAAGCAAAACGTGCAGAGGATGCTGAAAGTCTACAGAGGGATATAGATAGGTGGAGTGGGTGGGCAGGGGTCTGGCAGATGTACAATGTTGGTAAATGGGAGCTCATCCATGTTGGTAGGAATAACAGCATCATGGACTATTATTTAAATAGTAAAAAATTACAGCGTGCTGCTGTACAGAGGGACCTGCGAGTCCTTGTGCATGAATCACAGAAGGTTGGTTTGCAGGTAATTAAGAAGGCAAATGGAATCTTGACCCTCATTGTTAGAGGGATGGAGTTTAAAAACAGGGAGGTTATGTTGCAGTTGTACAGCTGTGGTATTCTGTCCCGCTTGTTACTTATATGCCTCGGTTTTGTTACAAACACATTGAACTGGACCCGATATACAAACCACTGAAAAACAGAACCAGAAGTAATGCCAACTCTGCTCCTATGATGCTGCTTGGCCTGCTGTGTTCATCCAGCCCTGCACCTTGTTGTCTCGGATTCTCCAGCATCTGCAGTTCCTACTATTTCAGAAGTAATGCCAACTACCTGAGCAAACAGAGGCATAAAAATAAGCGGGACAGAACACCAATGCTTCACTGGAGGCATACTGATGTTACCCAGCAGGGGGACAAAATGTCTGCAATCAAATACACCGGCTCGGCGAGGAAGTCTACAACCTCAAAAGAATTAAGGGTTATGGTGAGCGGGTGGGTAAAGTGGAGCCGAGTCCACAGAAAGATCAGCCATGATCTTAATGAACGGCAGAGCAGGCTCAGCAGATGAGTTGGCCTACTCCTGCTCGTATTTCTTACGTTCTTAACCTTGTGTTGCTTCTGTCCCGGGGTTGGAGGGGGGTGGGTGTGTGTGTGTGTGGAAAGAGGTGGTGGGTGGGTGGGGGAACCAGTGTAAAGGGAGCTTTTACTCTGTATCTAACCTTGTGCTGTCCCTGGAAGAATTTGATGGGGCAAGGTGGATAGTGCAGAGGGATAAAAATTACAACGTGCCCAGTCTTAGCAGCACTCAGCAACATTACTCAGGGGATAGGTCCTCCTAGATCAGGGAGACAGCAGGAGAGTGTTAGTTAGCTGCAGCTGAGAAGACCTCCTACCTGGCTCGCAGATAGTACAGAAGGTGATAACCAATCTTGGGCTGCTTCTGGTATAACTCCGATAAGAGCTCCAACAACAAGGAAAAGCTGCTGTTATCCTCCTGCATCTGGCACAAGTTCCTGGATAACAACATCAAGAATGACCATGAGCGTCACACAGTGAACAGTCTCCGTGGTTGCTGGGACTGCTTCCTCCTGGTAGGACATTACAGCATGTACATGGAAAGCTAACCCTCTGAAAATATCCCCCTGAGCCACACGCTCGGAAATCTACCACCCCTTCGGTGTCACTGGGTCAAAATCCTGGAGCTCCCAGCTGAACAGCACTGTGATACTTACCCATACCAATCAAAATGCAGTGGGTCAAAGTGCCAGCTCAGTACCACCTTCTTGGATGCAGTAGCGACCCACGGAGGGGAATGGTGTGGCAACACATCGCCTGGTGGCTGAGGGTTTGGGATTCAGCAGCGAACAGTGATACAACAAAACCATGGCTGGGTTCTTTGTGTTTGGTTGAGCATACAATCTCCGCGATGTGTACAGCTCATATTTAGAGTCATAGAGATGCACGGCACGGAAACAGACCCTTCGGTCCAACTCGTCCATGCTGACCAGACATCCTAAACTAAGCTAGTCCTATTTGCCAGCATTTGGCCTATATCCCTTGAAACCTTTCCAATTCATATACCGATCCAGACACTTTTTAAATGTTGTAACGGCACCAGCCTCCACCACTTCCTCTGGCAGCTCATTCCATACACGCACCACCCTCTGTGTGAAATAGTTACTCCTCAGGTCCCTTTTAAATCTTTCCCTCTCACCTTAAACCTATGCCCCTCTAGTTTTGGACTCCCCCACCCTGGGGTAAAGGCCTTGACTATTCACCCTATCCAGGCCCCTCAAGATTTTATGAACCTCTGTAAGGTCACCTCTCAGCCTCTGACGTTCCCGGGAAAATAGCCCCAGCCTCTCCCTATAGCTCAAATCCTCTAGCGTATCCTTACCTGAACGTAACATAAAGTGGCTTCCCCACTGACTCCTCCAGAGACCTGAAATACATTTGGTTCACATGTCACAGAAACAACTATTCACTTCAACGTAGGAAAACATCAAGCAGTAATTTACAGAAGCTTAGATCAGATAAATTTCGACACGGAGGTATGTAAAGCAATATCGGGGACATCAGCTTGGCCAAGGGACTCGGAGTTCAGGAGCATCTTAAAAGGGGAGAGTGTGTGAAATGGAAAGATTTAGGGAGGGAATAGAGAGCTCATCATCCTCAATAGGGGAGCGATGGAAATTTGGGGTGCTCAGGCACTCAGAACCGTAGGAATGCAGAGACCTCGAGAACTGTATGCCAGATAACAGGCTATAGAGATACAAAGGGCTGAGGACATGGAAGGATTTCAAAGGAGAATGGGAACTGTTAAAAAAGGAGCATTGGCCACAACAGGAGTTTACGCTGAATGAGGACACGGGCACTGGCCATTTGTAGCAGGGACCAGAGTTTCAACTTACACGCGGTGGGAAGTTGGCAAGAAACAGCATTTGATGGTGAATAGCTGTGCCCTCAGGCCAACTTCACAATGGAACAGCTTTCTCATCCAGCAGGCTGCCGTAGGGCCAGAGTTTATTTTCGGTCCTCCATTCAACTATTGAATATTCGGAGTAAATTCACAAACGTATATGTTTCGAAGGGCTGTCGCTGAACAACAGTTTCAGTGCAGGTTGTAACTTGAAATACTGGAAGGGTTCACCAAGAGGTGTGACGCTGGCAGTGAGAGGCTCACACTGTTTGTCAGCTGATTCTACACATGTGGCAGGCATGGAGCAATTCTAACTTGTTTCCTAATGGTTTCCCCTTCACACCCACGGTGTGTGTGTCTGTCTGTCTGTCTGTCTCTCTCTCTCTCTATCCACCCACTCAGTAACAGGCTCCCTCCACTCCACTAAGTGGAGCAGGTATTAGGGCAGAGAAGAATAATACTGAAGTCGACACTTACTCCTCGGTGATCTCCTCTGGCAGGACCTCGCCCCTGAAATGTCCTTTGAACAACTCGACGAGGCAGGAAGCCAATGTCACCATGAGCTCTGTATCAAAATCATCCTTCTCAAAAGGTGGGTGGGAGGGGGGTGGTGAGAGAGAAGAAAATAAATTTGGCTTCATTAGCAATAACTCCTGACAGTGATAGCGTGTGTGTATTCTGGGGAATTATGGCCATGTAATGTGATGTGGTATATAGTGCAACCAGCTGACTCTGTGGCTACTTGCAGGGCATCTGAAACTCTCCCTACTCTTTTACTGCCAGATCTCCCACACACACCTATTCCCTCTAGAGCTCACTGACCCACTGGGGCTCTGACAGCACCTCGGTTTTAAAATCCTCACCCCAAATTTCAACTTCCCTTGTAACCCCCTCTTACTCCCTCACCCCCACACCACCTCCCCTCCTCATCTCAGAAACCCCCTCCAGCCCACTAGGTTCTCCGCACCTGCGGTCTCTTGTACCCAGTGTCACTGGGCGAGAAATCCACAGAGCCTAGCCGATCCTCTGGGTCCAAATCCCACCAATGGACTTGGAATTTAAGACCAATTCCCAGGTCCGGAAGAGAAAGCGGATCTCAGTGATGGTGCCACAAAACCACCAGAGGTTACACAGTCTGTGCTGACTTACCTACACTATCCAACTTTCCAAAACCTGGGACATAGCCCCGAATGGTAAGACATTTTCAAGCCCTCATCCAAGTATTTCTCACCTCAACTCTCCTGCCAGGCTGTGCACCCCAGATTCCCACTGCCTTCTGGGTGAATAACAGCCTCCTCAAATCCCCTCTAAACCTCCTGACCTTAACAACTGTGCAATTTAGTTTTTAAAGACAAATAGGGAAGGAAATGTGCCACCCTTAGCCAGTCTGGCCTCTGTTTCACTCCAAACTCTCTCTATGATGGGGACTTCATGGAGTCATTTGGACAGTTAAGAATGGGCAATCAGTGTGACACTGTCAATAACACAGGATGGTGCAAAAACACTGCGTAACAAGTATCAGACTTTCTTCCCCATTCTACAGCCCAGATTTAATCAACAGAATTGAATTTAAAATTGTACCAGTTACCACAATGGGAAGTGAACCCTTGTCCTAAGGAACCAGCGATATTTCCATTATACCAGAATCACCCCACAAGTAACAGCACCCTCACTCCTGAAGCACTTCCATTGACTTTTGGGACCATCCGGGGCCCTGGAAGGTGCTATAGAAATGCACGTCCATCTTTCTAACAATCCACACTGAGTCCTGATTGCTAGCTCCTCACATTTCAAGGCGGAATGGTGATGGTTTCTTTACCCCCCCTCCCCCTTTATAAAAGTGAGTGGCTAATAAAGCAAAATCAGAAATTGCTGGAAAATCTCAGCAGGTCCGGCAATGTGTGGCGAGAAAGCGGGTGCTGCCAGACCTGCCAAGTTTTTCCTGCAACTTCTGATTTTGTTTCTGACTTCTGGCATCTGCAGTTCTTTTGGCTTTTTGTTTAGTGGTTAACAAAGCATTCTGTTGTTGTGTCCGATTCAGAGTGCGTGCTAACTGCTCATTTTTTTCTTTATTAATTAACAGGATGAGGGCATTGCTGGCTAGGCAGCATTTATTGCCCATCCCTAATTGCCCAGAGGACAGTTCAGAGTCAACCACATTGGCTGTGGGCCTGGAGTCACATGTAGGGCTGACCAGGTAAGGATGGCAGTTTCCCTCCCTAAAGGACATTAGTGACCCAGATGGGTTTTTCCTGACAATCAACAATGGATTCATAGTCATCGTTACACTCTTAATTCCAGCTATTTTCTTGAATTCAAATTCCACCATCTACCGCGGCAGGATTTGAACCCAGGTCCCCAGAATGTTATCTGGGTCTCTGGATTAATAGTGCAGCAATAATACCACTCGGCCATCGTCTCCCCAATTCTGCACTTGATTGGTTAAGACTGAGTGCAGACTCAAAGAAAAGCAAACAAACAGCAGCAACAGATGCCAGGCAGAGGCAAGGCCCTGAGCCAGCTATTTCAGAACGTCCTGTAAATGTAACCTTACACACATCCAAACCTGGGACGTCTCGACACAAGTCGGAGATATCAGATTTGGAGTATGTTGCTGGCAGGCTGATGTAAACAGATTTAAACAGTAGCTTCTTAAAAAACAGGATGCATATTTTGGAAGAAAAATCATGGAACTAACTGGCTCTTTTCCCCAGAAAAAATATCTACTATCCATAGAGGGAGGGCAGCAAAGATGCAGCAGACTGACCACTGGGCTGGCAGGACTGCTGTATACAGGGGAGACCAGGTCGACCAGGCCGACATTCACTGGAGTTTAGAAAATGGCAGGGGATCACCCTAAAATGTGTCAAATGATGACAGTAAAAAACCAAAAGAACTGTGGATGCTGTAAATCAGGAACAAAAACAAAAGTTGCTGGAAAAGCTCAGCAGGCCTGACTGCATCGGTGAAGGGAAAAACAGGGTTAATGTTTCGGGTTCGGTGACCCTTCCTCAGAACTGATGGTGGTTGGGAAATCGTCAGTTTAAATGCAGATAAAAGGGAGGGGAATGGGGTCGGGAGTAAATGATAGGATAGAGTCTACAGAGAGAGAGGAGCAGTTGGACAGACAAAGGAGTTGCTAATGATCAGGCTGGGAGGGTGAGTAGTTGTTAATGGGGACTATTAGTGACTAACAACAGGGGGAGTGTAATGGCAGGCTGCGTGCTTTCTCCCCCCTGGTCCAGGAACTCCCCACCTACATCCGTGACACCACCCACACCCTCCACCTCCTCCAAAACTTCCGATTCCCTGGTCCCCAACATCTCATCTTCATGGACGTCCAGTCCCTATACACTTGCATTTCCCATGCAGATGGCCTAAAGGCCCTCTCCCGCAGGCCCAACTCGTCCCCCTCCATTGACACTCTTATCCACTTAGCTGAACTCGTCCTCACCCTTAACAACTTCTCCTTCAACTCCTCCCACTTCCTGCAGACAAAGGGTGTGGCCATGGGTACCTGCATGCGCCCAAGCTATGCCTGCCTCTTTGTAGGCTATGTGGAACAGTCTCTCTTCTGCAGTTACACTGGCCCCAAACCCCACCTCTTCCTCCATTATATCGATGATCGTATTGCCGCCGCCTCGTGCTCCCATAAGGAGTTCGAACAGTTCATCCACTTCACTAACACCTTCCACCCCAACCTTAAGTTCACCTGGACCGTCTCCGATACCTCTCTCTCCTTCCTGGACCTCTGTCTCCATCTCTGGCAACCACCTGGAAACCGATATCTATTTCAAGCCTACCGACTCCCACAGCTACCTCGACTACACCTCCTCTCACCCACCTTCCTGCAAGAATGCCATCCCTTATTCCCAATTCCTTCACCTCCGCCGCATCTGCTCCTGAGATGAGGCATTCCACTCCCGGACTCCCAGATGTCCTCATTTTTCAAGGACCGCAACTTCCCCTCAACCTAAAATACCCTCAACCGCATCTCTCGCGTTCCCCGCACCACATCCCTCACACCCCCTACCCGCAATAACAACAAAAACAGAATCCCTGCCTCGTCCTTACGTACCACCCCACCAACCTCCGGATTCAAAGCATCATCCTCCGCCACTCACGCCACCTGCAATCTGACCCCACTACCAAAGACATTCTTCCCTCCCCAGCCTTACCTGCTTTCCGGAGGGACCACTCTCTCCGTGACTCCCTTGTCCGCTCCACACTCCCCACTAGCCCCACCACCCCGGCACCTTTCCCTGCAACCGCAGGTGGTGCTACACCTGCACGTACACCTCCCCTCACACCCCCATCCCAGGCCCACATTTAACAGATGTTCACCTGCATATCTGCTAATGTGGTATACCGTATCCGCTGTTCTCATTGTGGTCTCCTCTACATCAGGGAAACCAAGCGGAGGCTTGGAGACCGCTTTGTGGAACACCTATGCTTGGTTCGCGACAAACGACTGCACCTCCCAGTCGCGAACCACTTCAACTCCCCCTCCCACTCCTTGGACGACATGTCCATCCTGGGCCTCCTCCAGTGCCACAACGATGACACCCGAAGGTTGCAGGAACAGCACCTCACATTTTGCTTGGGAACCCTGCAGCTCAATGGTATCAACGTGGACTTCACAAGCTTCAAAATCTCCCCACCCCCAACCTCATCCCAAAACCAGCCCGGCTCATCCCCGCCTCCTTGACCTATCTGTCTTCCCTTGTGTGACCAACCCCCATCCTAACTCCCCACCTACACTCATCTTTACTGGCTCCATCCCCACCTCCTTGACTTGTCCGTCTCCTCTCCACCTATCGGCTCCTTTATCCACCTTCCATCCGCCTCCCCCTCTCTATTTATTTCAGAATCACCTTCCCCTCCCCCATTTCTGATGAAGGGTCCAGACCCAAAACATCAGCTTTCCTGCTCCTCTGATGCTGCTTGGCCTGCTGTGTTCATCCAGCTCTATACCTTGTTATCTTTGTGGTAACAAGGCCTGGTGTGTGGGGTGGGGACTGGGATATGGGAGAGTTTAGGCCCTAAAGTTATTGAATTCTATATGGAGTCTGGAGGGCTGCAGGGTCCCCAAGCAGAAAACGAGTTGTTATTCTTCCAGCTTGCATTGGGCTTCGCTGGAACACTGCGGCAAGCCGGAGACAGATGTTGGCCAGGGAGCAGGGTGGTGCGTTAAAGTGGCAGGCAACGGGTAGGTCAGGGTCTTTTTTGTGAGCAGAACGTAGATGTTCTGCACAGCGGTCACCCGGTCTACGTTTCATTTCCCCAATGTAGAGGAGACCACATGGTGTGTAGCAAATGCAGTAGACTAGATTCTGGGAAGTGCAGGTGAAGTGTTGCTTCACCTGGAAGGTATGTTTGGGCCCTTGGATAGTGGGGAGGGAGGAGGTAAATGGGCAGGTGTTGCACCTTCGCTGGTTACAGGGGTAGGTGCCGCAGGGCTATAGGGGGCTGTTAGGGGTGAAGGAAGTGCAGAACAGAGTGTCCCGGAGGGAACGGTCCCTGCGGAAGGCAGGCAAGGGAGGGGACGGAAGTCTGTGTCTGGTGGTGGCATCTTGCTGGAGATGGCAGAAGTGGCACCTGATGATCTTCTGGATGTGGATGCTGGTGGGATGGTGGGTAAGGACAAGGGGAACCCTATCGCTGTTGCAGAAGGGAAGAGAAGGGGCGAGGGCAGAAGTGCGGGAGATGGGTCGGACCTGGTTGAGGGCCCTGCCGACAATGGACCCGAAACAGTGTTTGACAGAATGGATGCAGGAACAATGTCTTCCTCTCTGTGCGGAATATGGGATACACTATTTATGACTGAGATGAGGAGACAGTTCTTCACTCAAAAAGATAGTGAACCTGTGGGATTCTCTACCATAGAAGGCTGTGGAGGCCAAGTCACTGAAAATATTCAAGAAAAATAGATTTCTAGAAGTTAACAGTATCAAAGGGGCACGGGGAGAGATGGAGAGTATGGCACTGAGTTGATGATCAGCCATCAACATGATGAACGGAGGTGATGGGACTGACGGGGGTGCTCCTCACAACCGCTGCTTCCAGAGCTGATGGACCCTATAGCCACCTTCTGTGTTATACAATTCTATGAATTGACAGAAACAGCCTACCTGCCACAGGCAAGGGGGAGCCATGCCTGAGATTGGCCTAGACAATGTTCCCCCAGAGCATCAGAGGATGAGGGGCAACCTCATAGAAGTTTATAAAATCATGAGGGACATGGGTAGAATGATTAGCCAAGGGCTTTTACCACAGGGAAGGGGAGTCCAAAACTAGAAGGGCATAGATTTAAAAGGCATCTGGATGGGTACGTGAATAGGAAGGGTTTAGAGGGATATGGTCCAAATGCTGGAAAATCGGACAAGATTAATTTAGGCTATCTGGTAGGCATGGACAAGTTGGACTGAAGGGTCTGTACATCTCTACGACTCTAATTCAACCCGAGGAAAACAGAGGCTGACTGTATGGGTGGTGGGCATTTGTGGTGCTGGGTGGGTCGGCCAGCAAAGTGGAGCGAAGGTTCTCTCTTCTCTCGGGCAGTGCCCTCAGTAAGAGGCAGCGCAAGGTTTACCCAACACTACTCTCAGTCAGGAAATACAAGGGGCACACTGCACACAGCAAGATTGCACAAACAACATGACGATGGTCAATGTTTTTTTGTTGGTTGCAGGATACATTCATGGAATCAGAACACTGGGAAAACTCTGCCAATGACAGGCAAGAGAGTGTCATGAGAACCATTTCATGCCAAGATTGTGGATAGGCCCTGGGGAGAACAGTTAATGAACCTTCGACAGTTCCAGCTCTCTCTCAGGACTGCACTGGCCACCCACTACAACATAAGGCCTCTTAAAATTGTGTGGGAGACCTGTGCATATTCGGTCTTAGCCAAGAATGAGATGTAAGCAGTCTGCACAGAGCCTCACCAGTGAGTGAGAGGGAGAAGAGGGAACACTGGGCCCAATTTAGGGTTGCTCAGTGGTTAGCACTGCTGCCTCACAGTTCCTGGGACCCGGGTTCGATTCCACTCTCGGGTGACTGTCTGTGTGGAGATTGCACATTCTCCCCTTGTCTGCGTGGGTTTCCCCTGGTGCTCCGGTTCCCTCCCACTGTCCAAAGATGTGCAGGTGAGGGTGGATAGGCCGTGCTAAATTGTGTAGATTAGGTGGGTTACAGGGAAAGGGCAGGGAGATGGGTCTGGGTGGGCGTGGAATTGATGGGCCGAATGGCCTGTTTCCACACTGTAGGGATTCTGTGATTATGGGCCTGAACCTCCAGAAGGGAAACTGAACCTGCGACATTCTCCACTGTAGAAGCAGGCCCTTCAGAAGGAGAAGAGAGGGGTAGCGAGAGAGAAGGGTGGGAGGAAGGGGGCAGCGAGAGAGAGGGGTGGAAGGAAGTGGTAAAGAGAGACACACACACACACACACACACACACACACACACACACACACACA